ACCCCCTGTTCAACAGAGCCCCGCCCCCTGCCCAACTCAGCCCTCACCTCCAGCTGCTGCTTCAGAGCTTCCACCTGGCCCCTGAGAGCTTCCACCTCCGGGGTGGCCGGGCCAGCCGGCTGCTCCTTCAGGGCTTCCTTAAGACTGAAGACTTCCTTGGAGAGCTCTGTGATCTGGGGAAGGGGACGCTATCAGTGGTCCCTCTGTGTCCAGGACTCCCCAAGGCAGCAGGGAGACACTCGGGGATGTCATACCCTTGGGGTTCCCCGACTCCAGCCCACGGAGCCTGCTCTTGCATGGCCCCCGAGCTAAGCACGGTTTTCCCATTTTTTCTTCGTAATCCCAGGGAGTGTGTGCAGTCTCCAGAGGGCGACAGAGAGACGGCAGGGAGAAAGCGCCCTGCAGGGGCTGGGGCGTGAGCGCACCGCCACCCTTCTCCCGCTCTGCAGGCTGTGGGGACTTGGGGCGCGCACACACGTGCGCCTCGCGGATTTCTCAAGCAGCCCGGACTGCGATTCAAACTGCCCGCTGTCCAGGTGGGATCTGGCTCCCAGAACCGCTAGGCTATAAAGCAGCTGAGTTTCTATTTTTAGAAATAGACGCCTGGGGGCAGGCAGGTGGTGTGGTGGATAGGGGCGCTGGATTCCCACATGGCCAACCCTGGTTCGAGTCCTGGACCTGGTGGTTTGCTTTCTCGCTTTCCCTTTCTCTCTCTCTCTCTCTGATAAAATTAAAAAATAACAATAACAAACAGAATTAAATAAATAAATAAATCTTAAAAAACAAACAATAAAAGAAATAGACGCCTGTAGGGCCAGCAGGTGGCATGGTGGCTAAGGGTGCTGGAATTCCACATGGTCGGCCATGGTTCGAGTCCCGAACCTGGCAGCTTGCTTTCTCCCTTTCTCTCTCACTCTGTCCCTCTCTGGTTAAATTAAAATAAATAAATACATAAAAGAAAGTTAAATAATTCTTAAAAAAGAAAGAAAGAAAGAAATAGAAGCCCGTTTTACACATGTAGCACAGAGGAGCTTGGCATAGGGCCATCACTCAGGACACGTCATCGGGCTGTCACTAGGGGTCACCAACGTCCACAGCTGAGTCCTAGTCCTTCTCTGCCTCAGCTTCCCATCTGGAAAACGGACTGACTGTCCACGACTCCTTCGAGTGGGAGAGTCGAGGTTCCCCTGAGCCCCTGTCCCCGTGGAGGGCTCCCGGCCAAGCATGGGGAGGGG